GGAGTGATTAAGACAAGTTTGGGTGGATGCTGAATGTTAATCTCACAGGCCACATTCTTCTGCAATGCAAGAGGGTGCCACTTACACTGGTAGCTCTCTGCCTTCAGCAGTGCATCGTGATGAGACTAATATATGAGAGACTGTAGTCCTTGAAGCTTAACTGAGTTGTGTGTTGGTTTTTTTTTTAAAAGCTTCCCTGTTAATAGTATTTCTGCTGGTATTGATTTCTAATGGTAGCTGGGAGCTTTATTCCCTTTGAGATTCTTGTAAAATCCCTGCAATTAGAGATACAAAATTGCACTGACCAGAAAAGCTGTATTAATTGGTAACTCAATATAGTTTGACCCAGATCATCTGCCTGGATGGTCCCCTGCCATCACTGGGCCTCTGAGTTCTGCCTGCAACAAGCTCACTGAAGAGCTCAAATTATATTCTGAGAAGTCTTTGCAGAAAGAGTTCTTGCATTTATTTTGTTAAAATAACAAAGATGAGTGAATCAGTGTGCAAATTGCTAAGCTCTAGAGCAGGTACAGCTTGCTGAACAACCTTGTGATGCCAAACATATTTTCCAGACTTATATAATAAATACTGTATTGTAACACAAACATTGGTGTGAATCTTTATTGCAAATGACCTGCACAACTGACTGGATTATAGAATTACTTGATAAAGTATCTTGTCCTCTGATATTCTCTTAATATTGACACCACAAGCCTTTTTGATATAATTACATAATAAGCAAATATATATGAATGGCCTCTATTTTTTTAACACATCCACATACAGAATCTCTAGGACTTAACATACAGTCTGTCTCATGGCATCTCTATTGCAGTAGATGCTATCTCCACAGGATTCCTAGGCAAAATTCAGCAAAGAAATTTAAGTCTTGGGTCATGTCAGAAGTGAGGATTAGAAAACGGATCTCCTGAAACTGAGTTTCTGTTGTCAGTGATTCTGTCTTACAGGTTGCTTTTCATGCTACATGTGCTGGATTATTTTGATTTTTACTCCTTGAAGCAGAAGAGTTGTGGTTTTCAGGAACCTGGGTCTAATGTTGAAGCAGGGATACTACTGCCTTCAGTTCTTATTTTAAGTGAGAAGGTAACAATTTTCTGTGATCAGATATGAAGCATAGAATCAGTATCCTTAAAAAGAGAGAAACAGAGGAAAGGATCATTGCAAAGGACATTTGGAAAATGTTTCGAATTTTTCTGAGCTGATTCAATTTTTTTAAAATTTCATCAAATTTTAGCTCTACTTTTCATGAATTTTCTTTTCCACTGCCATTCCTTGTCTGTCTTGTGTATATTTAGAACTCAGCTGAATAGCTGATTTTGTTTCTTTAGATGCTGTCATCCACATTTTGTGTAACTGAGATGTTTTGTTTTCAGAATACATCTGAAATGGCCTAAATTATATGTCCCATAACTGCTTTCACAGCATTGTTGAAAGCTGGTGTTCTTTTTCATGGATCTTTAAATGTTTAAACATTATACTTAGAGTATATGTCTGAGACTTTTGTTTCTGATTTTTCAGTTTCTTTCACTTTTATAAGTTGCTAAGAACTTTTTTGGAAAGACCTTTGTGAAAATAGAACAGTATTTACTTCTACAAGAAAAAATGGCAATTTTTAATCATAATCTTTAAGTGCTTGTTTTGAAAAAAGAAATTGTTTTTACATACTGAAAAAATTTGTTTTCTTTTTTCTGTTGCTGATATTGAAACGCTTTTCTTTCTGAAAGTAAGACTGGCTTAAGTTGAGAGAGATTCATTTCTTCAAAATACTTAAGACTTGTCCTGAGCTAAAGGGGCTATTTTTATCACATATCAGTCCTTTCAATGTTTAAAAGATGCTAAAAAGGGAAATTTCTATGCTTTTTTTATGGGACTTTTAGTTCATTTTTGAAAATTTGACATTTGTCTAGGAAGAATTGGAAGAAAATTTATTTTCACATTCTTCTTGAGTTTTGAGGTATTAATGAGTTTGATCATTACAGAAACAAAGTTAGTCCTCCTTTTAACATAATCTTAATTTAAAACCCTCTGAGCCATCTAGTCCTTCTGTGTACCTATTCATTATTAGTGGTAATTGCATGAAAAGGAAGTTGTTTGTCTGCTCCTGCTGCTTATTCTCCATCAGAACGCATAATCCTTTGTTTTTGGACAGCAAAATTAGCAGCTTTGGAGATCATAATTATTTCATACCTGGGGCTTGGAAGAAACCTGGGGGAGAGATACTCTTAAGCCTTGTCTGAAAATACTGAGTTTATTTAGAGTTACTTTTCAAAGTTTCAGTTGTTGGGAGATGAGTGTATCTAAAATGCTCAGTTCCTGCATATGTGTGTAGATGGATTACCGAAATACGTGCATGGAACTGTGCTGATCTCTTCACAGTACACAAAGAAAAGCACAACAATAGCAAAAATGAAACCCTAAATAATGACACAAGCTTTAACACAAAAGTAAATACCCAAACAGCACTTTATCTTACAATGGTTCTCTTAACTGACTGACAGAAAACAGATTTGATATTCCTGTGTACCTTACCAAATTTACACGAGCTAGCTTGACTGAGAAGCTGGGAAAGAAAGAGCCAAACCTACAGTTACTTGGAGACCAAGTAGTGGTAGTTTTTTCTTCCCCTCTGATAAGTTCTTGGTAAGAGGTGTTGATCCCATATCCTTGCTCTCATTTCTAGTGTAGGGAAATTTCCAGGGTATGCAAAACCATGATTTTTCTAGTTCATTATCTGATACAAGTTCAAACAAATGTACATGCTCCAAAAGACAGGTATTATACTTTCAAATGTATAACTTATCTAACTTATCTAAAGTGACAGGGATATTAAGCTTCACATGGATCTGTTCCAGTTCAGCCAGGGCACACTTTGATATTCCTGTTCATACTGGCTGAGGATATGCACTCCAGCAGAAAATGACAATTTTGGATCTGCAATAAATCATATCTTCTGTTTTACAAAATAATGATAGATTTCAGTTAGTTACTTTGTATACAAATTTGGTAATTTTTATACTCTGTATCAGCATAGACTGTGTGCTCAGGGACTAGAAATTGCTAAAATCAAAACCCAAAGAATTTTAAAACAAGAACTTTGTGTCTCAGTTTAATTTTCACATCTTGGATTTTGAAAAATATCTGGTGGCTTCAGTGCCAGGGATGAAATTTTATTTCTGTAGCTGAACCAATCTGTAAAGGAGCTATCTTGATTCTACTTTGATTTCTTCAGAAACATTGCCAGCTAAATTGAAGCTTTTTTATCAGTGAGAGAAATTTGACAAGAGCTCAGTTTTAAACTTTGAGCTGAGTTAGTGGCTGAAAGAGCAAAAGGTTCCTCCACTGAAGCTGAACATACTTGCTGAAATGATTAATGTTAAATCTCAGAATACATTTTCTTAACAAACTCAGTTTAAAGTAGACGAACATTAAAACATTAAAACAGCAACTAAGCATGTCAAAAGAAACACATTAATATCCATTTTATTTTGCAGAACCTATTTAATCTCAAGTAGGAAGGCAACAGGATAGTGAGCAGTTTTTACTTTTAAAAGAACCTCAAACATTATTCGACCTGTGAAAGCATTTAGTAGCTTCAGTTGAAACAAGGATCCATTGTATTACCAACAACACAAAACAAAGAGACACTGTACATTCTAAAGAGTTTTTCTAAACAAAAGGGATAATAAGCAGTGCTAGGGAAAGAAAATAATAGCTTTGGTGGCATGAGCACACTCCATAACTTTCAGCATATGTAGTTTGATGTTACTGAATAAACAGTTTCATATGATAAATATTCTGTGCACACCTGTACCTTCTTTGTGTTCTCTCAGTGTTCTTTCATATGCCAGTTGCAGCTCTTTTTGTAGTTTCAGTTATTTCTTGGCTGGTCTGCTTTTTTTTGTCATATATGGCAATCCCCAAATACGCACGCACTAAGCAGCTGTTGAGAAAATGACCTGATTTAGAGTCCAAGGCTCCAAAACAAGATGGAAAGATTTTTTTGGTAATAAAACCATCCATCATCCAACTCGGCAAACAGTGGAGCATGTCTGTTTATAGAAAATCTGTCAGCAAGGTGTTGCCTGGAAAGCAGATCTGTTTTGATCCTGTGCTCCTGAAATCTAGGTCTGGAGAACAGCTTTGCTTATTGACGTTGCTTAGTGTCCTGGAATATCTTTGTGAACATATTACTTGTGATAGATGTGTGCTAATGTCTTTACAAACAATTTCATGGATGAGGCTATGGGTGCTAACATCCTTGAAATGGATCTCAATGTCTCTACCAGATTCAAGTAGCAGGTTTCTTACAGAGCACAGACAGACTGACTCCTGAAATAGACAAGTGGGTCCTCACAAGTCTGAGTTTCTGAACTTTGGGGGAAAATGACATATATTTAAGAGGAAATATGTGGTAGGTAGTTTGGGAAGGCTGTACCTTCCTAGTGACTCAGGCAAAGGGTAAGGAAGAGAACAACATGCAGCTGGGAATTTATAAAAAGAGGTTGCGAAATCTTGAGAGAAAGCCCCACGGGCGTATGTCCCAGAGGACTCTATTCATAAAGTTGCAGGACTGCTCTGTCTCCTTTATGGGCACTGGCTTTCATAGCACAATTTTCCACACACTTGGAAGGACAAATGTAAAATGGAGTGAGACAAGTTCTGAGATATCACATTCTCTCTGTTAATTCACAGAAAGATAGGGATGAATATCATTTAGCCTTCTTGTTTTCTAAAATTTATTTACTATGAAAGAGATATATCAGTTTATAACTTTTATTTATCTAGTGACATGTCCTTCAGCAACCAAAGTCACTTTATACATCAGCTTGGTCAAAGAAAAGCTTAATCCAAAAGTCAGCAGTGCTTCAAAGCAGAAATAGTGAAGACATGATAGTAAAATTAACTATGTTATGTGTGTCATCCCTTCTGCTTGTAAAAAACAATTGCTCACTTTAAAATTTTAAAAGGTTTATTAAACCTTAAAAAATAAAACAAAGGACTGAATAAGGAAAAAAGACAGTGACACTGGAAGTTTGTGATCGGCAGCCAAGTGCTCACTCACAAAATGGCTGCTCCACCTCAGGCAACCCTGGTCCCTCCCACAGTCTGTCAGTCAACTTCTTCTTTGCCTTCCATTGGTGGAGACTGATTTCTTGCAACTTGATTGGAGGCCAGGTGTTGTCACACCACGCCCCCTCGTAACAACCGTTCCTCTACAGCCAAAGCTGTCTGATGACAACTGCACAGAGCAGGTGGGAAAGAGGATTATGTGGGGGACACAGGATGTCCAAACAACAAACAATGACATCAATAAAGTGCCCATAGGACTGCTACAGCCATTAATTTAAAAAAATTAAATTAGAGCGGAGTCCAGTGCTGAGGAATACTGCTGATGCGGGTAGCGAGGTTTGCAAGCTGCAGACTGAGGTGCAGATACAGCTCTGGGTGGGAGCCCGAGACAGGAGGCTGTGAATTGCCAACCCTTTACATAGAAAAGGGCACAACGAGGGTGGAGCCAGCTGGGGGAATGAGCCCTGAGAGACACAGCAAACTGCCAACCTTTAGGGTAACAAAGGCAGTAAGAGCAATGGTGCTGTGGTGCTGTCCAGTGGCAGGAGCAGAGGGCTCAGGAGAGCAAGACTTGTGTGCAGGTGGACTGTGAGGGCATAAAAGCCCGGGGGTCCTTTGTTGGGGCTCACTTCCTCAAATGCACCAGCTCAGGCTGCTCCTGCGGCTCTGTGTTAGGACAAAGTGGCTCTGTGGAATGAGATATGTGGGACTCTGCTGCGGGAAAGCTGGGGGAGGGACGGTGAGTGACCCTGGTGTGACCGTGTGAGCCAAGGGGGCACCCTTGGAGCCACAGCTGCCAAGGGCCTCTCGCACCTCTCTTCAGTCAGAAATGTCACCTGGAAACCGCAGTCTTGTGAAAACTGCTTGAGGCCTAGTCACCCTAAGTGCATCTGCTGGTCTTCCATGGGGTTGGCTTCACCTTTTTCCAAGTAGAATGTGTTTCAAAGAAATAGACTTTATATTCTTGTTGTATATTCTGCAGGGGAAAAATTCCCAAACCCATAAGGATATTTTCCCCATCTCTTAATTAAAAAATAATATTAAATAAAAAATTATTTAAAGTGAGAAAAAGCCCCATCTCATGGAATGTTGTAACATTCTGCTGGTCTTGTTTCACATAAATCCGTATATTTTAGTTGGGGCCTTTACTTAAGTGTTGCAGCATTTCCTGAAACATGATCTTTCCTTCCCTTGATGTTGCTCAGAATATCTCTGAGGAACAGCAGGCTGTTTACTAAACACCTTTTAAAGATGAATGGTTGAATAACTGGTTTTCTGTTCCTTCTGGAAATAGACTTCTAGGTGGGTTTTAAATTTCAATTTTGTTTTGCATCTCAGCAGAGGAAGCTTTACACAGATAGAATTTTTAACAAGATGGGCCCTCATTACTGGTCAAAATTTCTCAAGACAGTTTAAAATTTCGGAAGAACATTGTAGCCTGTTTGAACATGACCATTCAGTGAAGCTGTGAAACTGGGTACTGAATATAAAAATGTCATTTAGGCTTGGAATTTCTGAAGAAAAGCAGATGATGGTGCTTGTTGATGAACTAAAAACATCTAACGTAGTGCAAATATTGAACAAAGGCAGAAAGGACTTAGAGGGATAGTCCATTGAAAAAGTTGCCTTACCATGGTGCAGGCAGCACCTTTAGCTGCTCCTCTGCAATGAAAATGAATGTTGTAGGGAACTGAAAATGATTCACTAAACAAATGTGTTCAGATTGTGGAAGAATGCCACTTTTCCTTTCTGGTTTACACTGTGTAAGAATTATTATACTTTTGCTACTATTAATGCTCATACAGCCCACTGTTAATATAGAATATCTTACACAGATGGTGTCTGTCCTAGAGAGGAACTGTCAATTCCTTATTTTGGGAGCTAATATTGTAAAGGACTCATACTAGTGTTGTATTACTGACTAATGGTTATTTTGGACAATTAGCCTTATATAATGCCTCTGCCAAATACATATGAAAGTCATAAATATGACTTTGAATATTCATCAAAAGTATATTCAAACTTTTTTGAAAAAACATCTCGTAAAGGTGCTTACTATTAAATATGATGATAAAATAATAAAAGTCAATGTCTAAGATGGGACACAGAAATCTTGAGGTAGCCTCAATCACAAATATAAACTTTCTTTCTTCCACTCCAAGTGAATAATGCCCTCTACTGATTGTGGGGAGAAAAATGGCTAAAATTCTGGAAAAACATTACTGATACAAAACTGTTAATAAAATAAACTGGAGTAATTCTTCTGATGCTTATTGACATATCTAAGGCTCTGTCTGTGACTTGTTCGCTTACTGGAGATTGTATACATAATGTGATGAAATATGTTTGAGAAGATACTTGCAGAGTCTCCATAGGTACATGTATTTATGTAAATTAAACCCTTGAATAATCTGAAAGATGCTGATATCAATGCCTTTTTCAGACTAGGTGGTGGCTGGTAGGTTTTTTGCATCCATTGATACTATCCTAAAACTGAATGACCTCTGGTGAGAGTGGGAATTCTATGGAAATTTACAGATAAAACAAAAAAAACAGTATTATTTCTGTATTTCTCAGTACCTCCCAAGGAGTTTGTGCTTGCCTGAAGTGTTTTCATAAAAAAAAAAGGAAAGATTTGGCAAGAGCAGCCTGAATGGGAGTTTCTGATGTGGGTGTCTCTAGGGAGTATTGCCTGATGACAGTGAAAATACCAAATATTTTCTTCTAATCATTTCAGTATTGTTTAGACCCATCACTGCATAAATCGCTGCAGTAATTTGTAATGCTGATTAATGTGTGTGTGTGTTCCTTGATTTGCCCAACTTGGGGCTTTCATAATACATAATTCTTCAGCTATTTACTTCCCAGCACTCTCTGTGCCGGGAGGGAACTGAAGACAGCATTCCTGAACTGGTAACTGCAGTCTTGCAGACTGGAATTCAGAGGTGGTTAATGTGGCCTTGTGTAACTTTCTTCAGAATTCTGAAGCATAAAAATTATTGTATCTTCTGAGCAGCAGATTTTGTAAAAATCTGAGAAAATACAATGTCTGTTTGCAAAGATCTTGTTTTACCACTCTCACTCTCCTGCTAAATTCTTAACATGGAAGCCTGTTCTGAGTCAGATATTGAGTCAAGACATTCGGTGAAGCTCTGGTAACTACTGTATTTTGGTTTTTGGTTGATAAAGACTTGAGAATTTTCCTTTTTCTAAAGGTACAATTGTCCAGAATGACAACTAGAATGAATGAGGAATGCAAAGGAAAAAAAAAGTTAATGTGCTTTAGTCTTATATCTCAGAGAAAAACACTCTAGGAAATCTTTCCTCTACTTAAATCCACATTTATATTCTTACTGTGTTTCTATTTTAATAGTAAGGCATAAAACTAAATGGATATTTTATGGATATTTGCATCAAACAAGTGTTGTGCTTAGGCTGAATATGGTTTTTCTGTTTTGTAACAAATGTTTTGTACTGCGGATATTTTAAAGACTGGACTACATCCTGAATCGCCATTTCATTCCAAATTGTTGCATACAGCCAGGGGAAAGGATGTGGGAGAGTGGATGGAAGAGATGTGGAGGGGATTGCCTTGGTGTGAAACTGGAATAGCAAGTCCCTCACTTCTTGCTTCTGCTGCGTTTTCCTACACCAAGTGTGGGACAGCATGTCAGCAGCCCTTGTAGAAGGAATTGTTTGCTTCTAGCTTGCATCAAATTCGGGACATCCCATGTAGACTGGCAAACTCATTAAATAATAACTGCGGTTTCGTTAAGCAGTTAGATTTTTCATCTGAAATGCAGCACATGAGTCAAACCTGATACCTACTGATTATAGATGGAAGGTAAATATTTAAACATTGATGCCCTGACTGTTATCTCAGTATTATAAACCAGTACACCACATCAAACAAGGAGAACTGATGCGTTGAACTACTGGGAGGTTTTCAGAGGTGAAACATGTTAACTTAAAAATTAGGAGGGACACTAGGGAGAAAAGCCATAATACTTCTTGGTGCTAATGGCTTTAGGTGAGTATTGTATTTACTGAACAGACAGAATGACACCTGCCTAGTTTGCTGTTCATGTTTCTAGCCAAGTTTTTTCTGTTCATCTGTTTTTGGACTTCTTTAATGGTGGAAAGCTTTGAATCTGCCTTTGAGAAAATTAGTCAATATTAGAGCTCTGTGTAGGCTGCATGTTAATAATAAATTGCATTTTTAAAAGTCAAAAGTTTGAGAAACATAGAGTAATTTGATATGCTGCCTGGGGCACCAAAGCTCAGTTCTTTGGTATTTTGGTTGGCTTTTTGTTTGTTTGTTTGTTTGTTTGTTTCCTTTTGTTTGTTTTTTAAAGGAAATAAATATTTTCTCTGAGGGAATAATTAAGTTTTTTAACTAAGTGCATGTGAGTATTCTATTTTAGGAGAACTTAAGCAAAAAATGAAACTATTTTTAAAAGAAATTAATTGATACTGGGTGCCACTACTTAAACCCTAGTCTATTTTATCCCTTGTCCAGGGGATTTAACAATTAATTATGGACAAATTAATTTTATTGTCATTTCACATATTATTTTAACTGCCACTAGTGTATGATTACCAGATATATCAAAAAGACTTATTGTATATATATAATGACACAAAAAGATGGAGAGTTTGGAGTTGGAAAAAAAGGTATGCTTAATATTAGCACTGTGTTTTTCTAGATGTTACAAGAAGAAACACAGTTTCTTACGATACTCAGTGTTAAAAAAAAAAAGATGAAAAGAGAAAGAAGGAGTTATTAATAAAGTTATGAGAGTAAGATTGTTTAAAATTAGTCTATTCTACAACATGTACCAAGGGTATTATTAATGAGAGTGTATACTGTAGTATGCCAATATAATTTGTACTAAAATATTATAGTAGTTAAGATGCTGTAAGCATCTTGAAATTCAATACCTGAATTTATTGCCAGAAGTAAAATGTAATTTAAAGGATCTATGCTGATACTAGAGTCTCCATAAATGAAAAAATAGAAATTCTTTTCAGATTGCAGACCTGCCCATTTTATTATTCACGTACTCCCTTTGAGATACACATGCACTGTCACAGAATCTCAGGCTGGCTGTACCTCCAAGTAGGAGCAGTTGGCAATAGCCAGTGGACTTCACAGGATCTAGTAATCCCTCAGTGACATCTC